TATATATATATATATATATATATCATAATTCTTGATTAGCTATAACAACTTTTTCTGCCTCAAATTCAGATCATTCTGAGTAAAAATATATTTCAAGCTTTGATGGTTAGTAAAGATATCACATCTAACTCCATACAAGTAATGCCTCAAAATCTTCAATTCAAATACAACATCAACTAACTCCAAATCATGTGTCAAATAGTTCCTCTTGTATGGTTTCAACTATCGAGATGAATAAGCAATAACTCTACCGTGCTGCATTAGCACAATCCCAAACCTCTCAATGATGCATCACTAAAAAGCTGAACCTCTATGTATCTAAGTGAATGGTCAAAATGGGAGAAGAAGTTAAATGATCCTTTAACATCTAAAAACTCTCTGCACACTTTGGAGTCTATATGAATGCTACTGACTTCCAAGTTAGCCTTGTCATAGGCAAATAAATGCGAGAAAATCTTTGAACCAACTTTTGATAATAGTTAGCCAAACCTAAAAAACTATGAACCTCTAAAATTATAGCAGGCCTTGGCCAATCAGAATATCCTGAATCATCTATGGTTATACTAAAATGTATGCATTTCTCCCAACGTGCCTCAGAAATGAAATGCTCCTTAGGCAGAACTCACACTTCAAGAACTTATCATATAACTAATGTTCCCTTAGAATCATTAAAGCAGTCCTCAAGTGTATTGCATGCTCCTCCTAAGATCTAGAATAAATTAAAATACCATCTATAATGATGATCACAAACTGATCCTGATACTTCCTGAAAATCCTATTCATCAAATCCATGAAGATAGTTGGAGCATTAGTTACTTCGAATGGTATGTTTAAAAACTCATAATGCTGTACCTCATACTAAATGTAGTCTTTGCCACAACCTCTACCCTTAACTTCAACTAATGATAACCAGATCACAAATTAATCTTTAAAAATACTAAACGTCCAGCTAGTTGATCAAACAAATCATTAATTATAAGTAAATTATACTTTTTTTATAGTGACTTTATTCAACTCCCAGTAACTAATGTATATATGCATTGTACCATCTATTTTCTTTATAAATAGAAAAGGTGCTCCCCATAAAGACATATTAGGATGGATGAATCCCCTGTCAACTAAGTCCAGAAGCTGAATCTTCAACTCTTGAAGATCCTTAGGTTCCATTCTATATGGAGCTTTAGAGATCAGAGCAGTACTAAGAAAAAGATTGATATAGAACTTTATCACTCTATCTGGCACTAAAGTCACTAATTCCTCAAGGAAGACATTTAGAATCTCTTAAACTACATGACACTACTCAATAAGTCAAATGAGAGTCTCACATCTCCGACATATGCTAAAAATACCAGGACACCTTTCCTCCAAGGCCTATTCACTGTTAGAGTAGAAATTAAAGAAGAAAGAACACCTATGATTCCCTGAAATACAAAACTCTCACCATTTTGATACAAAGTCACTTTCTTCTTCAAGTAGTTTCCAATACATATACAAAATGACATTAAATACAAAAATAGGAAACAAAATAAAACCATGTCTCTAAACTTTATCAAAAAATAACAAATCATAAAAATAAGCTAATATATTTTGCTAGAGTGCTGGGCATATATTTAAGTTACCCTGGGATGATCATTAGAAAGCAATCAAATGGGTTATGAGGTACTTATAGAAAATAAATGATTACATGCTCACATATAAGACATTAGACTAACTGGAGATCATTAGATATTTTAATATAGATTTTATTTGATACCAAGATAGCTATAACCTCTAATAATCCATTAATATAAATAAATATAGTTAAAGTAACTATAGATCACATACATCAAAATATTTTTTAATTATTCCTCAAAATTTATGTACAATAGTCAAGAGACCAATCAATACATCAATCTACCTCTCTCTACTCCTAACTACAAAATAGCAAAATCCAAAATATAGGAAATAACATAAACCTAAATCCTGATTTACCCCCACTCCATTAAATCCCGACCTCTCCTAAAAAATATATAAAACCGTGTAATTAGCTAACATCTCAATAGGTTACTAGAACCTACAAATGTAATCATCACAAGGAAATAAAAGAAATATATATATATGTAGTTATTCAATCCAAAGTAGAGTAAACAAAACTTTAAGAACATGTAGCATTATATATGAACAATATCTTGTTGAATATCTTATGAGTAGTGATTAGTAGCCATGAAGACCATTAGGTTATGTCAATTCTATAACAGTCAGTTACAAAATAGATTATATATCATTTTATGTAAATCAAGACATGTGTCACTAACAAATGTTCATCACTCTATGCCTATCATATGCATGCCTTACAATTTTTATGCATGTATATCATGTTTTATATCCAATGCCAATGTCGTATATCATGTATAGTATGCATATCATGTAATTCATGACATGTAATTCATATATATCATGTACCCTTGATATCAGCCTTTCCACTTTTATCATTTAGATGTATCAATCATGTCTTTTATTATATTATCATATCATTTAAGCAAGTCTTCATATATGTTCATGTCATATGCATATATATGTAAGATAACAAGTCAGGTGATTTTCATGTAAGAAGTCATCACTTTCTATCCATCGGTGTATCATATCATATCAGTCGCCCTCCTTATATCTCTCTTTCATATCGCTTATGATTACATCACAAATCTTATTTAAAAAAAATCTCATCATCTCACCCTCCTGTACATGATAACATATCTTCATCCACTCGAATTAGTCAATCATTTCTTATTTTTACATATATTTAACATTATATAGACAAAATCCTAGAAATCAAAATTATTAATAGAAATAGGATTCAAATTACCTAATATGATCATAACATTTTCCCAACTAGGGTGATGGAAAAAAATGACTCATAAGCAAATTTTGTCCTCTCTCTCTCTCTCTCTCTCCCCCCCCCCAATTCTCCCCTTTTATCTCTTCTTCTCAACTGACCAAACACAAGGAAATGGTGAGGGAATGGCTGGGGATAAGGGTTTAAGCTAATTATTTTAGATATTTTACAAAAAAAAAAAAAAAAAGGTTTAAGACCCAGCGCTATGACACCCAAACCCCTAATGCAGTTATGCTCAGTTATTTTTCCAAAAACTCGAGAGCTCAAAGTCGAGGCATCGCAGCTCTACCACAAACCAATTTCTAGAAATTTAGAAAAATAAAGATTGGGGCTATTACACTACTATATTGGAAGTTTGTATTTTGATACCATTTTATTTTCTTTTTGATGTTTTGCATAACTTAAAAACTTATTTTATTCATTCTGATTTTTTTTGAGTTGATCTCCTTAAGAAATAAAGTTGGACCAATTGGAAATAGGCATGCTTTCAAATCACATTGCATGTAATATTCATGCTACACATATGTCATTTGGTTAGATGGACATATGTAAAATATAGTAAAGATTCTTTTGATCCTATATTGATATAACTAATGGATGAGATTACCCACATATACCTTTATTCATAATAGCACAAATTTTGTATTCATAATATTATACACAATTCATAAGGAACATATATAGCCCAAGTGGAAGGTTGTTCAAAAAATAAATAAATAAATAAAAACAAATGTGGGTCTATATATGTAATTAAATTTGTATTATAAGTTATCTTAAAATTTATCTCTTTTTTTAAGTGATATTATTGAGATTAAAGAAATAGAGCTTTGGGCATAACAAAATTTTGAATTAATTATAGTAAAGACCTAATTTTATATTTCTAATTTTATGATGAGCTAAAACAGAATTATAAAAAATTATTTATAAGATATGGATATGATTCCCAATTAATGCAGATACATAGATATGATAAATATCTTCTCATGCTCTATGACATCCAATCATTATAATAGCACATAAAATCTTCTCTAAGGGAAATCATATTAGATTGAAAAATTAATAGCCCAAAATCATCTTTCTTTCATGAATTCAAGTATGTTTTTCTTTAATTCTATCATGGTAATTTGAAATGAAGAATCTTTAGCAAATAATTTTAATTATTAAAATATTGTTTCTCTTTTTACATTTTAACGAATTTTTCTGGTCACAATATTTGTTTAAATTTATAATTGAAATGAAAATTGTTTGATAATTTTATTAAGCCACTACAAATTTTATATTTAATGTTATAAATATTATTGACAATAATTATTATATTTATATTAATAGTTAAATTCTCATTATTATATCTCTATTTATATTCATGAAATATTAAAGCATCATAACAAAAAAATAAACCTAAATCAAAATATAACTAAATAGTATTGTTTTTTTCATCATTGTGTGAAGCATCTTTTATTTATTTATTTAATGAATCAAATATATTTCCTTAGACTTTGTAATTTAAACATATAGCTTTAATAAGAAATGTTAATTTATTCATAAATTTTCATTAAATTCTACAATATTTTTCTGAATTACTTTAAAATTTTCAGAAATTCAAATATTAATTAACAAAATTAGAATTATACAAAAAAAAATCTTTTTTTTTTTGCTCAAAATATAATTTATTATATTTATCACTGCTAATCCATCTTTTTTTAATTGCATTGGATGAGAAAATTGATAGAAAGCATTATTTTCTTAATAACACCCTAAATAATTTTTAAATAAATATTTAGTCAAATAATTTGAAAATATCAAATAAACAGATTCGCAAATTTAAATCGACGAGTTTATTCATGTTTAGGTTTCATTTGAAGCAACTTTTTTATTGCTTTTTAAAACAGCTTCTTAATATCAAATTTTTTAAAAATAATTTACACTGAAAGTCATTTAGAAAGGAATAAAAAAGCGGTCTCAAATAAAGTCTTTCTGTCTTGTTGATATGCTCAATAACAGTAATTAGCTGAAAAGAGTTGAACTGCAAAATAATGGTTCATAAAGAAAAGCCATTGAGGTTGAAAGCTAAATCTCCAAAGCATTATAAACAGATAGAACAAATTGTAGCAGACAAACAATGACAATTCATGTTAGAAATACTTACAACCACAGAGAACAGAACATGTGATGACTGTAGTTAAACACAGAAGAAGCAATATTTCTTTTGAGGAGAAAGAGGTGCCAATGAACATAAGCACAGCAGGAGAGACTTATCGTTACAATAATTTAACACGAACATTCTGTATATCAACCCTTGCTGACGGATGGATGCTTAACTTGAACTTCCATACCTTCAATTATGCAATCAAAAGCAGAAGAAGCTTGCAAATTTCTTCGTTAATGGAGGTTGAAATTGCTCTACAGAACAAAAATAGCAGAGCAAAGCACTATTCTAAAGGGAAGGCATCTGCACTCCGTTGTAATACCAAAATTAAGTTAGTTCTGGAAAAAAAATTAGAGTTCCTGCTTTTGGTTAAGGAGGAGAGGATAAAAATAGAAGGGGTTAGCTATCCTAATCCTGAGGTCTACAGTTGATATTGGTTCTCCTACACCTACAGCAACAATTAGGCCAACGGAGAAAAGAATATATTAACGGTGATTTATTACCCAATCCGCTTCTACTACAGATCAAGAACAGCTTCGCCTGTGAAACAAGGAGAGGAAGCCATGGTCAAAACAAGCACCAAAACCAGTAAAATGAAGAACAGTAGATGGGAATGAAAAAACTTCTCACAAAGTAGGAAATAAATGGAAACATTTACTGTTAGTGCAAGTTCATCAGGCTTCTCTCAAAGTATATACCCTATTGTCATTACAGAGGTTTATTTTCTGAATCGCCGCAATGTATCTTAAATGCTATTTAATTGTTTTCCTAGCACTTCTTTAAGATTTCTGCGAATCTTTGTATACCCTATTCTACTTCAATTGATATTAAAGCCCAACTCAGCATACCAGGAAAAGACATGAAATGTTTAGCAAGTTTATGATTCAATATTTTGATGAAGATTAGTTTCAATGCATACATTAAGGTTTCGTCTGGGACGATATTTTTATTGCTTTTTAAAACAACATTTTAGTTAAAATTTTTTAATTATTGTACTAAAAAAATTGCTTTAAGCAGTAAGAAAGCCGTCCCAAACGAGCCTAAGTCATGTCAAGTGTTTCTAGTTTCCCATTCTGAAGCTGTCAACTATCATAATGGAAGCTTTCTCAAAACCCTCAATGGCTCATATTAAACGTAAGTCCAATTCTAAAACCAAATTACCTCAAACCTGCTTCCAATTCCTTTCCTAACCCATGTAATATTGTAGCCTTACCCAGGATTTGGCCGAGCAGAACCTTACCAGTACTCCTTACCTCTCTCTTTCTCTTCCTTTCCTTTTAAAAGCACAGGTCAAACATTATAGTCCATCATATCCTAACCGCAGGATCTCTATTCCAGCACATTGTGCAATGCCCCTCCCTTTACTTCCTATCGCAGCTACATTTCATTCTAGTACAAAATTCTAAGCTCACTGCAATCACTCGATCTCCCCAACAAGATTTTCAATTAAAATTCTAAAACATTGCCTCAAATCTCTCTTACCATAGATTCCTTCAAAACCACCCATCTTTCTTATTTAGTCATGTTTAGTCTCCATTGCATATCTATCTCACTCTTTATCTATGTCCATTGCATGAAGGATAAAAAACAACTCTTCTTCCATCTCCCTCTCTCTTGATTGCCCACCTCTTTAAAGAAGCCCCATAAAACTTTCACAAGCTTCACCGTCTCTCCATTGTTGTATCTCTCCCTCCTATAGCTCCTTTTTTTCCCCATCAAAACTATATTCCCTTCAAATATAATATTCTAACCTTACAGAAAACACTCAATCTCCCAAACCATTTTTTAAATTAAAATCCTAAAATATCACCTCAAATCTCTCCTACCATAAAGTCCTTCGAAACCACCTTTCTTTTTATTTGGCAATATTGTCTCTCTATTACATGTCTCTATCTCACCCCCTTTTTATGTCCATTGCATGAAGAATAAAAAATAGTTCTTCCATATCTCTCCTTCCCACCCCCCCACCCCCACCCCAAACAAGAAATCTCATAAGAACATTCACAATCCTCTCTTTTTCTCACTTTGTTTCACTCTATCCCTTAGCCCCCAACCTACTTTAAGGCTACATGAGCTCCATACCCTTATCTCTCAACCTAAACACCCTGCTTCCCTTCTTCTCTACAATTTTTCTATTCATCAATCTGTGGGCTCCGAAAATTCGGCCCCGGCCTCCTCGCTGCGCTTTTCTATTCATTTTGGCGAGGGAGTTTTAACTGATATAAGTTCCGAGGTAAATTTTGGAAGGCAGATGGGTTTGTAGATAAGAAACTACCCAGAAATTTCGCCCTCATTTTTGTGAGGACTTTATGATCTGAGTTCTGGTTTCCTATAGGTGCAAGCCCCTATAGTTAATTACCCCTCCCGATCACGAGAGAGAACTTTCGATTAAGGCTAGTCATCAATCAGATACGCATAAAATACGTGTTATCTGGCATATAGTAGCAGCATGGGTATAAAAATTGAAAAGTTTGGATTTGGGAATTGAAGAATTGGGTTTTTGGATTTGGAATTTGGGATGGAAGATTTGATATTTAAATAGAAATTGCACCATCTTGCACTTAAAGTGGATGGTGGGGAAATGGATGATGGGCCCGATCAAGATCCCATGGTTTCGTCATCCCGGGCCATCGTGGTCCCTGGTCTACTTAGTCAGAGGAGGTAGTCGACCCAACCTGACAGAAGGATCCTTGTCGGTAGCCATGGATTGCTTTGTCCAAGGCGACCTTGTAGATCTGGGTTGGATGTTTGTCAAAGGGGACAAATTTGAATCCACCATAGCCGATAGAGGGCTTTGTGCCCTATCGATCATATCCTATTGATTCATATCTCAAAGATTTGATGCCAATAAGGAGCATATTGGCGCTGGTCATAACCGGTATTTCGTGGTGCCATTTGGCGGCAAAACCACTTGGTTCAGAGGGCCCCGGGTCATAACCATTTATCCTGCGGTGCCATTTGGCAGCAAAACCGCCGGTTAGAGGACACATACCACGTCCTTACTAGCAGGAGATTGGTTTGAGAATGGATCCTAGTGATATTTTCGACTAGGCATTTGGCTATTTGTGAGCTGAAATAGTTTTTAATTTGTCCACCCCAACAAACTATTGCGGAGGGTGGATGAATTTTGCTTTAAGTGATTGATGATTGAATTTCAATTTTAAATATTTTAAATTTTATGATTTTTTTATTTTTGGATTTTGAGTGAACTTTTGGTAGATTTGAAAAATGCCCGAAATTAACCCCTCCAGTTGAGATTTACATTCAACACGGCCATCATCAGGGTGTTTGGGGTCATTTCCATTTGTTGTTTGAACCTTGTCAATTCAGACAAGCTATTGACTGAGGATTGGGTTCCATAGGCTTCATGCCTTTGTTTATGAATTTTCTTTGTTGAAAGCCTTGAAGGCCGAATATGAATATACAAAATAAATATTCCGGTCAACTTCGTGACCGCATATTTATCCGATATCTCGAACCCTGTCTACTCCTATTTATCTATTTAGGAGGATCGGGTTTCGTAGGCTTCATGCCTTTTATTTAGTGAATTCTTTTAATTGTAGTCCTTGAAGGTCTAATATGAATGTATTGAAACAAATACATCGATTCCCATAACCATGTGTTTGTTTGAAGGTTCGAACTCTGTCGACTTCTATTGATCCGTATAGAAGGATCAGGTTCGAACTAGAATTCACTTATCTACCCGCGCAGCATCCCTAGGCGTCACGCGTGTACCAATAATATGCTCGCCGGGGACCATGCTGATGATTTTTATATTGATTTAGACGTACCCCATTGTGTACCTATGTGTATACAAACTGTAGTGCATGTGCAGGGGTACTTTGAAGTATTTGTAGTTGTGTAGATAACTATCGTTTGGATGCACACAACTTTCATTTGAGAGCTTATACACGCCTTATGTCCGCTAATACAAGTGTTGCGAATCCGGTGGCATGCGTTGTAGATGTTGACTCCCCCTTTCTCATTCACCGGGGAAATTCTTCTAGAACTTGAAGTCCGTTACTTTGAAGAGAACTCCCTTTGAGGTCGTCAGTGTAGTGGACTTGTTATTTCTGGTGTTTGTGGGCACCAGAACTGTTTTCTTCTTAAGTATAGGACTAAGAAGAGGCTTGAGAACACCAGGAAGTTTGGTTCTAATTTGTTCAAACTTCCTTTTTGATTCTGCCATGGAGTGTACTTTTTGTACATCGAGTTGCCCTTGTACTCGACGTACTTGTAGATCTTGAAGAACAAATTCCTAGTAAGGTAAGATACCCAAACGATGCCATAGGAAATAATAAATTTAATTTATTTATAACCTAGAAATTATTATGTTTATGATAACATTTATTCCAATTTTCTTTTGCATGCATTTGTTGATTCATTAAATAGTGCCTTCAATAATTCCTAATATAATTTTTTAGAGGGAATGATATTGGAAAGGTGAAATAAGTCATATATTGGGGGTAAGGTCGTACAAGTAAAGGCAAAAGATCTGATGAGATAAGTCTATACTATCGAAATTTTAAAAGTTGAAAATTCAGACCTAACCTTAAATAAGAGATCAGCATCAATTCTAAAAGTTATAAATTCAGACTCAACCTTGAATTAGAAAGCTAAAATGGTACAAAAGCCTATAACCATCATATGACTTGTATAAAGGTATTAAATAGTAAACAAGACAAAAAGTGATGTTATGTATTTCTTCTAACAAGTTTGAAATTTATATATATTTTAAATCAATTGTCAAAGTATTATTATTATTATTTCTTATAAATTGCTTGCATATTTTGTTGAGCTCTAGCTCATTACTAATGATTGTACTGCAAGCAAGAGAAAGAATAAGTGGGGTAGTAGTCAAAACAGTTGACTACATTTTTTGTGTACATATAATTTTTTGGTGTATAAAGAGATCTAAGTGGGAGCTATACAGACTTTTGGGTACGTAAGTAAATTTAATTTTTTATTAAAGCTCTATATTTCAATTGAGATAAGCATTTATTTGAGCTATATTACACATGCTTCCTGTTATGAAGTATAAAACTTAATAAGTTAATATACGTTAGGATATTCTGAATAGACTACTCCTTACTCCCTGATTCTGATAGATGTATGTTAGAATAAGTGTAAGTAAGGAGTTCTATTCAGATTCTCCTTTTTGCTACACTCTAGATTGACTATAGAAAGGGTCAAAATGGGATGTGACACATAAGTTCTAATCTTTAGATTTGACCCTCTATAAATAAAAGTTAAGCAGACGATCTATAAGTTACAACCATTTAAATGACATAATGATAAATACTAGCGTAGAGGCCACCAATATATTTTTAAAATGCACTTGCATAAGGCCTTCAGATCATTTTTCAACAGAAATTCTCTTAAAAGAAAATTCTATGGGCAACCCTACCTATGGGGTTAGTCTGTAAGTCATAACATTTATATATGGTCCTCTACATGTGGAGTATAGTTAAAGGGTCCATATAATAATAAATGTCCACATGAATTTAAAAGCCATGAACATAAATCCATAGACCCGAGACCTTTGCAAGCAGTTATAGTCGATATGGCCAGAAGTAAACAATCTTCTGATCCCGATCATTTGTAGAGTTGACGTGGCCCATGACACATTAGTATGCATCTAAAAAATAAAACACGTCTTTACCACTATGATGGGCATGGTAACCACATATAACAGCTAAAGGATTTATCAAAATAAATGAAGCTTCACATTACAAACCAAATATGAATTTAGAGACTCTATCTCTATTGATAGTCAAAGTTATTATAAGAATATAACCAGAGAATTTGACATTCATACAAATTTCAAATGTTAAAAACACAAAGCCCATGAATGTTAACGTCTGACAGACCAGAAAGTTTCAATGACCACAAAAAGAATTCTGAAGCTTGCAAATCCTCAGTAAGCCAAATTGAAAAAGTGGTTAAGGAATGGTCAGTTCATCAATGTATGGCTGAGTGGGGTATAAATGGCTTGGCTTTTGATGCTGTGTTGACCTCTGATATAAAAAAAAAGAGAAAAAAATCAAATCCCATACCTGCCTCCCCACGTCGCACGATCCAGCGCCGCTCGTCGCACGTCGAGGCCATACCGAGCGTCATTTCTCCCCACGTCGCCCACACGACTCGCTTGGAGTCGTTAAAAAGCCGCAGATGCGAGACCTTCGGCCTCTCCGAGCTCTGACGCGATTTCCCTCTTCCACGCTCTGACTCTCTCCCGCTCTCCGATCCTCCCTCTGTTTTCACGACCAGAGCCGGCCGAGCTCCCTCAGCCGACCGACCTCCTCCCTTTGTTCGATACCCTCCATCCCGAGAGAAAAAAAGAGAGAGAGAGAGCTTTTCCTCCCCTACCTTG